TGAGTAGATTCCTCCCGCACGTGCAGGTTCCAGGCTTCTCCGAAGTGCTGGTGGCGCGGGTAGCAGGGCCCCTCCAGCTCCCTGCCCGCCTGTCCCTTGCCGAGCCCTGCAGGCATTTGCAAGTCTTCCCTAAACATGATTAACTGGGAGCCTGGCTTTCCCTGGGAGCCTGGTTCTCTGCCCCCAGGTTTTTAGAAATCATTGTTTCCTGAGGTGAGTCTACAAGACTTTCTAAGACTTCTGTTAGGTCGATTGATGTCACTTTGCTGCTTTTGTAGGTTAAAAATGGTTGAATGTTGGTAGTTTCATGTAGTTCAACCTAAATGTTTTAAATTTTAAATACGAAATAAATTTAATACTGTGCTGTCCTGGGGGTCCAAGATTGGAGGTTCGGGGACTAGCAAGTGTGCAGTCGGGACCCCACCAGACCGTGGGGGGCTGAGCAGAAGGCCGCGTGCGGTCTGGGGTTTGAAGGCCCCTGGGTCCTGCGTGAGTTGGCTCTTCTTGTTCGTTTCACATGACAGCTTTATTGAGATGGTAGCCACATGCCATACAAGTCACGCGTCACAAGTCATTGATTTTTAGTGTAGTCACGGAGTTACACAGTCGATTTTAGAACATTTTCATAACCCCGAAGAGAAACTCTGTGCTCTTTAGCACTCGCTCCCCATTTCCCCCTGACCTCCCGCCCCGGCAACACGAGTCTGCCTTCTGCCCCTGGATTTGCCCCATCTGTACCTGGATATCGTGCGACATCCGGCCTTGGCGTCCGACCTCTTGCACTCAGCATGTTCTCAAGGTTCGTCCACATCGTAGTGTGTGTCGGTCCTTTGTCTTCGCGTTGTGGGGTTAGGCCCGCTCTCTCTGTCCACTCGGCGGTCAGTGGGCCTTTGCGTCGTTTCTCCTTTCTGGCCACCGTGAGTGAGTAGTGCTGTCGGGAACCTGGGTGCAGGTGTTCGTGTGCACACGTGTACACCTGTTCCGCTCTCTCGGGCGTACACCCAGAAGTGGGATTGCTGGGTCGTGTGGTGACTGTTCAGCCGTTTGAGGAACCCCACATCTCCTCCCAGGTGGCCACCCTGCTTCCCACTCCACCAGCAGCTGCGAGGTTCTGGCGCCGCCCCCTATCACCCAGGCGTGCCGTCTGCCTTTGGTGCAGCCGCCCCAGTGGGTGTCGCGACGGAACTTTCTGGCAGGATAAGGTGTCCGTAGAGATTAGGAAAAGGATCGTCATTTTGTTAGCGGCCAGGAACAGCCGCGGTCATTTTTCAAAAGCTCTGTAGGAAGCCAGGTGTCCCAGCTCCAGCGTGCCCTTTCCGTGCCTGGCATGGCACCTGCCGACAGGTAGCTTTGTGTGTGATGCCTCGTTTCCAGGCTAGGAAATAGTCTGACCTGCCCTGTCCCCCTTCTGTGTGCAGGTGTCACCATGAAGCTCATGGACGATGTGGCCGGGATCGTGGCTGCACGTCACTGCAAGACCAACGTAGTCACGGCTTCTGTGGACGCCATTAACTTTCACGACAAGATCAAGAAAGGTGAGAGACCTCTGCCGAGAACGAGAGGGGGCGGCGGCCTCCGGCTTCCTGGACCCCCTGCCCGGGCCCTGGCGTCTGCCCGTTTGCCACGAGAAACGGGAAGCCGGAGCCTCGTGCTCTGTCCCGTGGATGCGTCCCCACGCCTGCGGTTCGCTGATCTGACTCTTCAGTCTGGGAAAATGTGTCACTCCGGTATGATCGGAGCCTTTATCCTGCTAGAGACAGGCATAAACTCGTCCTCTGAAAAGGCCCCACGAACTGACCGCTGCAGAGGTTCCTCGCGGACAGTGGCCTCCGCCCCGGGTGGAGGGGGCAGCACCCGCCCGCAGCCCCCCGTGGCCTGCCTGTCTGCTCCCCGGGCAGTGCTGGCTTTGCTACTTTTCCCGACACAGAGATCTAGTCCCAGCGACTCGGGCCGCACCTGGGAACCTGCTTGAGTGTCTCGGCGCATTTGCCTCTGTCTGGGTGTGTGCAGCTCCCCACGCTCAGCCCACGTCGCTGCTGGTCTGGAGATGAGCGACTGTCCCCTCCCGACAAGTGGCGATTTCTGTCATGTTGTGTCTTCGCCCCTGAAACGTAGCACTTCACTGGGGGCTGGGTGGTGTCAGGGCTGCCAGAGCCTGGTGTCGGTCCTGGGGGAGCCTCGCCGTGAAAACAGCCTTTGGAAGCCCCTGTGGAGTCAGGCCGGTCCCTGGCTGCGGGAGGTGACAAAGTAGGAGAAAGGCAAGCTGGACCGACCTTGGAGGGGACCTCAAGAAGCACTGCTCTGAGCAAAGCAGTGCTGTGTCCAGAGCCACAAAAGCCCCCTCCAGACCCCCCAGCGCTCCCCCTGGTCCCGCCGAGGCCCGGCCTGGCCACTGTGCTGCTCCTCAGGCCACACCTGGCCGCTGAGTGTGTGAGTGCTGGGGCGAAGCCCCCCGAGACTGGAGGCGTTGTGAGTAAGTAGGCTTACCGAGTTGAACTTGGGATGCTTTTAGGGTACGAAAAGAGTGGTCTTCACCCTGCTCCCCTCTGCTCTGCAGATCACTTCTTAACTGGCAGGCGTTTGCCACGGACGTGGGTCACAGTGTCATCACAGGGTCTGCCCAGGACGAGTGAGTCTTGGCCGCCTTGGCTCGTCCTTCGTGGGCCTTGGACGTGGTGTGCAGTGCTGGCGTGAATCTTTGGGACGGGATGGTGCCTGTCGTGCAGGATTCACGCTTCTCCTTTTCTGGAGCGACTCCCTGGGCAAGTGACCGTGACCAGAGCTTCGCTGTTAAATGCGGCCTCAGAATCCACAGTGGAAAGCTAGTGACTTTCTGTGGACCCCTCCTTGTGCCGTGTCTCCCCTGCGCCCTTCAGGAGCCGCCAGCCAAGAGGAGAGCTAGGCTTTCCCAGAGGGCCGAGCGGTTTCCTGGGTGTCGGCCTGGTCAGCAGCTGTGCTTTGCCGTTGAGGGAAGTTCTCATAGAAATGAAGACCCATCGAGAGATTTCCCTCCACCCCTGCACCCTGAGACCAGAATTCGCCTCCCAGTAGGGGTCCGGGGGGGCACGGCTGGGTCCCGGTCGGTGGGAACTGCTAGTTTGAGGGGAGGCCATGCACACTGGCTGGAGGGCTTCTTCTAAGGATCGATTTAGGGGACCTGCTTTACAAAGACTCCTCTTCCGAAAGGTTACTCGTGCTCCCAACACAGAACGGAACTGGGGCTTCATTTTCAGAAGCCGTGACTTCCGCCAGCATCCCGCCGCGGATTGGTTCCGTTCAGGCGGAGGCCGAGGAGTGAGCTGCGTGGCAAGGGGGCTGCCCGGGGCCCCCTCGGGGGTTCCAGCCTTGGCCTTGCACTCTGCTGGCCTGTGGGGCTGGGGAGCAGGGGCTGCGCCCGTTTTCTCGAGTCACGTCTTGTTTTGCGTATGAAGGAATTTGGGCCAAAACTAAAATAGCAGTTACAGAGTCTGGCCTAGTTCTGGGCCGGCGACCCCCAGGGGCCGTTTAGACACTGTCCCGCCTTATTTGTTGTTTCCCGGAGGACTGTCCCTGTGTCGGGTTGCCAGCTCTCTGTGCCGTGGCTCTGTCGCCGAGCCTGCCCGGCACAGTTCGGGCAGTGCACAGGCTGCAGCTGCTCAGAGGCAGAATTGTCACATTTTGTCTCCAGTTCCAGGGGACAGAGGCCTCTGCAGGCGCTGCCGCTTCACATGGCTCCTGTGCTCCTTTATGGGGGCTGCAGAGCGAGGCCGGGCGAGCCCGGGGTGGCCCTGCTGGACAGCAAACAGACAGACAGTACGGGCGTTTCAGAAACTTGGGGTCGACGTTCCTGCTTGTTCTGCTTTGACTTTCTGATGCGAATCCGCTGAGATCACTTTACAGCCGCGGGACTCTCCGGGGCGCGGACCCCCAGCTGCTGCTGTCCTTGGGCCCAGCACCTTCCGCTGTCGCCTTGCGGTTCTGCCCTAATGTGAAGGGGCCAAGAGGGCCGGACCCGCCACCCCACGGGCGCGAGGCGGCACCGCCGAGCCCCGGGACTGCTGGTGTCCACGCGTGGGCGGCGGCGGGGTCTAGTCTGTGAAGAGCGGCGAGCGAGTGTCCCCATGCTGCGCAGCAGACAGCTGCCACCGGCGGCTTAAAGGAACAGAAATTTTCTGTCCCCCAGTTATGGAGGCCGGAGATCCGAAACGAAGCCACGCTCCCTCCAAGCCTCCAGCGGAGGGTCTCTCCTCGTCTGCAGCTCGGGGGGCTCCAGGCGTCCCTCGTGTTCTGGCTGCATCCCCCAAACTGCTCCGTCTTCGTGCGGCCCCTCCTTGTCCTGTTCCGCCTCTCATCCAGACACGTGTCGCAGGATTTAGGGCTCACCTAGATAGTCCAGGAGGGTCTCACCTCACGCTCCCTAACTCGGTGACCTCTGCAAAGACCCTTGTGTCAAATAAGGTCACCTTCTGAGGTTCTAAATGGATTTATCTTTTGGGGGGCCACCATTCAGCCCACTACTGATGCCTCCTCTCCTGCAGCTTAATTCTTCAGACACAGCCCACTTTCTCTAACAGACTCACAAGCTTGGTAAAACCCCCTTGTGTCTCTGCCCACGTGGGCGTCCATCCCTCTTTTGTGAAAGCCAGCGGTAAAGTCAGGGCCCGACCCAGAGATAGGAGGCCCTGAGGGGTACAGAAGCGAGGGGCACCCCTCCTTCCTGGGCCGATACAGTGAGGGGACAGCCCAGGAATTAAGCCTTGTTGCCAGCCACACGTGCCGCCCGTGTACGAGTCTCCTGTGGCTGCTGTAACGAACTCCCACCAGCTCGTGGCTGAAAGCAGCAGACGCGCTCTCTGACCCTGGTGGAGGTCAGGCAAGGTCCGTGGGCCGTGTGTCCTTCCTGAGGCTCCGGGGGGCCAGGGGCTGAGCCTTTTCCCGCCTGTCGAGGCAGTCGCATTCCTTGGCTGCCGGCTCCTTCCTTCAGCCCCTGCTTCCGTCACCCTTTCCTCCTCCTCTGACCTCCTACCGCCCTCCTACAGGGACCCTGGTGACATTGGGCCTGCCACCTCGCAGTCCTTAGTCCCATCTGCCGAGTCCAGAGTCCCCTGCATTAGGACTTGGGCATCTTGGGGACCACTTTTCTGATGACCGTAAGTGGCATCTTAGGAGACGGACTGTGACCTTCTGACTTAGCCATTTCGCTGCGCTTTGGTAGAGAAACAGCTGAGACCTGAGGCAGGAGATGCTCAGGCTTGTCTCCCTTCAGCCTCTGGTAAAGCTTCTTACTCTGGAGAGTGGGCCCTTGGACGATGTCAGGCAGACGCCAGGCTGTGGCCTCGCCTGTCACTCGGCGGGGCGGGGGAGGGTGTCCATCAGAAAGCTATGCCTGCAGCTTTGCGTCGTGGAAAGTCAGACGACAGCTTTGAATTTCAGCCACAAAGGGCGCGTGCTGAAGAGGGAGGGCTCACAGCACCCACCGTGCAACACGAGGGGGCGGGGCAGCTCTCCGCCGTCGGTGGCCGGTTCGCTGTTCACAGACGGCGTCTGCTAGGGCGCCGTCTCTGCTTGCCTCGGCTGCAGAGGGCCACCCGTCTCGGGACCTGGACCCTCGTTCCCATGCCGCCCCGTGTTCATAGTCTGTAACGCTGGTGGCCTGTCCTTCCTCTCCTCACGGCTGGGATGGCTGCCCGTGACACAGCCTCCCGCCTGGGGCTCAGAGTCCTGCGTGCCAGCCAGGTTACGCGGTCCTCAGCTGGGGCGCGCTGAGGAGCACTTTGTCCATGAGACTGGGTCATGTCAGACCCTAGTGTCACCGACGTGGCGACTTGTCAGAAAATAGTTGCTGACACTGAAACCGCCCGCCCCGTGAGCGATGAAGCTTAAAAATATGAGCCTGCTTTTTACACATCACTCGCTCTATTTCTATTTTTTTTTTTCCTTTAGTCGAGATGTAAAAACTATTGCCGAGGCAACCGTTAAGAAAAGTTGAAGGGGGACATCGTCACCTTTGGCATAACGGTTTGGAGACCTTGGGTGCAGAAACCTAAAGCTAAAATTTTCTTGTGGAGAAATGACCTCTTCAAACTCTTGGGGTGGAAAATGAGGAATCTTCTAGAAGGTGCTTTGGGGTGTGTTATGTAAGAAACACCGAAGTTACTTCACGCTCTCTGTCCTTCTCTTGATAAAGTTCACTGCCGCGGCTCTTTTTGGAGCTAAAGCACTGAGCTGTTCCTAAAAGCTTTAAACACTTGGCAACGTCTCAGCTGTGGTCAGGGCAGTTACGCCGTCTTCCTTCTCAAGTCCCTGGCAAGCCGCTGAGGTCTGCCCGTCTGCCCGGGGAGTCGGGCCGGCACCTGCCAGCCCCCCGGGCCGTCCACCGCAAGCAGCTCAGCTACGACCTGAAAAGGGAAGTTGGCGCGGTCCCCCGCGCAGCCCCGCACAGGCACCCTCCCGCACCGCGGGGCTCACGCAGCCGAGCCCGCACACAGCCCGGCGGGCAGGTGCTTACCCCGGACTCCCGAGTGGCAGCTGTCTGCCGCGCGGTTGTGTATGGGACTCATGGCTCCTACAGCAGCTTGAAGTCACTGCTAAGGAAGGGTACTGACAGGTCGTGGCGTCCAGCCCCGGAAAAGGCACCGCTCTCTGTGTCCCTCTCGTCGGCCTCAGCCCAGGGCCCCTCTCCTGCGGGGCTCAGCGTGTCGGAGGCAGACTGGTGACGTCGGCTCTGCCTGCAGGACTGCAGGCCAGGAGAGCAACGTGCCCTTCCTCGCTGGCACGCGCCGCAGTCCAGGTGCTCAGCGGCCGCAGTGGCCAGTGGCCCCCGTATCGCGCAGTGCAAATAGGGGAACATTTCCACCACCGCAGAGTGTTCTGCTGGGGGCGCTGTCCTCTGGACTGTGGGCTCAGTCCCCAGCGACCCAGTGTTCGGGCGTGGCTGCCCAGGCGCCGTGTGCAGGGTGCAAGGCCCTGGAAGGGATTTCCTTAGACCCCTGCAAACCCGAGCGTGCTCTGGCACAGTGCCCAGCGCCCGGCGCCCCCTGCAGCATGGCACCCACTCCACCCACCACAGCCCGCGCACGAAGCACCTCTGCCCGCAGCCCTGTCAGCGGTCGGTCTGCACGGGGGGACCCCTCAGACCTTGGGGTTCACCAGAAGGGCCGGCTGCTCGATGGTGCCCGTGGACTCTGCTCTTTTGTGGAATTGAGAGGAGCTTGATTTTAGATCCAACTCCCACACTGAGTCAGAAATCCGAGAGTTGGAGCCACCAAATGAGAGCCTGACAGAACGTACAAAATACCACGCAAACCTGACCTTGTGCCTTGGTCGAATGCCTTTTCGATAGGACACCTGCAGTGCCGACTTCCTGGGCCCCTGCGGGACCGGCGGGAACCCCGCAGCTGTGCGATCTGCCGCTGGGACCTTGGCCCGAGTGGCCGCTGGGCTTCCTTCATTTTCACTTGGAACCTCGTCTTGAGTTTCCAGATGCTTTTGGTTGTGTCGGGACCCCTCTTGAAACATAGAAGTGTCACGTTCGTTGGTAGAAACGTATCATAGAACTTTTTAAATGATAATATTCTCTGAGCTCCATGAAGTATTGTGTTCCTGATTTATAGTTACGATTTAGCGTAAGAGCCCAGAAGAACAGAGGCTACCTTAAAATTCTCCAGCCGAGCTTCCACCTTGGTGGTTTCTATGGTTTCTGTAGCAGTTTACCAAAAATTTAGTGGCTCCAACAACTCAAATTTGTTCGGGTCTCAGAGGCTAAAACCCAGGTGTGGCAGGGCGGTTTCCTTCTGGAGGCTCCAGGGGGAAAATCTGTTTCTCGCCTTCCCGGCTTGTGGAAGCACCTGCCTCCCTTGCGTTCCTCGCTCGTGGCTGCTCCCTCCACCTTCAAAGTCAGCCGCATAGCATCTCTCCGCATAGCATCTCTCCGCATCGCGCTGACCCTCACCTCCTGCCTCGCTCGCAATGACATTGGGCCCACCGGGATAACCCAGGCCGACCTCCCTTCTCCAAGCCCTTAACCTAATCACATCTGTAAAGTCCCTTTGCCACGTCCGGTCACATAATTCACAGGTTCTGGGGATGACGACGTGGACGTCTTTGGAGGCTGATGTTCCCACCTGCCAGAATAGTTAGTTAATTGCACCTGACACAGGCAGGTAGAGCTCCAGCCCATTTCTGAGCTCTGCCTCTTTCCCACGTGCTGTCTTACCCTATGAGCTAGGGAGCGGGAGGATAAGCGGGTCCCCAAGGGTCTGAACAGTGCCTCTGCCTCCTCCCCGGTACCCGGCCAGCATCCCTCTCTCCCATGACCATGAGACACAGGGAACCCAAGCTCTTCCCACGAGAGGAAACCCACAGGAATTCCCTGGCAGGAGGTGTGGATGGGGGCCACCCTCACGGGGACAGCAAGCTGAAGGACAGCTGCACCGCGCCCTTGCCTTGTCCCCCATGTAATTTCCTCCCAATGACCGTGACGAAGTCATGGCTGCTCATGATTACCTTCCAGGTTAGAAATCCAAGGAAACATCTAACTTTAACTAAAACAGATCTTAAACAACAAAGTATGTTGACCATGCGCATTAGACACAGGAACAAAAAGAGACACTATCTCAAGTGTCACTTATGTTACAGAACGCAGCGATTCCTTCCCCAAAGTCAGAATCTCAGTCACAGCCCCAACCCCGGCCCTTTCGCCTTTCAGAGGCGGCAGCGTCATCACTCTAGCAAGTCACAGGCTCTGAAGCTGGGGACACGACCGCGGGATGGTACCTGACTAGGTCGCCACGGGGCTGGGACCTAAACTGAAACTGACCAGTCCCAGTTCTGGCCATTACCAGGACGGACCCCAGGGTGTGCCCTGGATGCCCTGCAGGTGACTCTACACCCTCATCACTCACGTAATGCCCCTCGTTGCTGACCATGTGGCCTTCCTTCCCCCCAGAAATGGCTGCATCCGACATGAAATGCTCCCTGGAAGCATGACGTTGAATGTGGTATGGAATATTCTGGAACTTTATAACATGGAATAACCGCTCCCGCCTCTGGCCCGTCCACATGCTCACGCCTAACTGTCAGCTGTGCTGCCCCGACTCATCTGTCTTCCATGGTCTCTAACCATGTCTCGTGGGACCTGTCTCCCTGGAGCTAGGACGGGGGTTCCCGGGGGTATTAAAGGTCCCCACAGCCAGCACTGCTTTGGGGAGCAGGTCCCAGCAATGTACGTGGGGCTCAGGCCAGAGCCAGGCCATGCTGCGAAGGGTGTTCTGGCCAGATGTTGGCGGAGGCCCAGCCAGGTGCCAGCCCTTCCCTTGCACACCCCCGAGGGTCAGCGCTGCCTCGTGGGCCAGACATCGTTGGTGGTGGTCACGGCTGCAGCAAGTGCCTCCCGCCACCAGGCACGAGCTCGGCCCCTGGCTCATTTCGTGCCGTCCCCATAGCTGCTCGGCGAGACAGTGCATCTGTGTGTCGCAGAAACGCTGCTGTCTGTGAGGTGGAGGAGTCACGTAGCGGGACAAGCTCACGGCCTTCAGGGCGGGGGCAGAGGAGGGTTCTAGTCAGTCAAGCAGCAGCTGCCTGACGGACGTTCGCGACCCCAGGGCCGCGGGGAGTGCAGAGGTCGGGCTCGGTCGAGGGGGAGACAGTGTGACGGGAATGCGTGACTTCAGACTTTGTCGTAATCCACCAGGGAGACTGCTGGTGCTGGGGGTGGTGCACGCCGGTGGCCTCTGCCCAAGGACGGGGCCTCAGGCGTGTCCCAGGAAGGCAGCTGTCCCCAGCCCGGAGGAGAGCTCTGGTCGCGTGGGCCACACCGACTGAGGAGGAGCGCCTGACCAGACAGGCGAGGTCCCGCCTGGACAGAGGGACGACTGGTGTGCCTGGGGCTGCATGGGCTGAAGTGCAGACGGTAGCTCCAGGGGCGCGTAGCACTGTGGTCAGTGGACAGCTTGGCCCAGTCAAGTCACGTGAGCCCGTCAGAGCAGCATCAGGAACGTTGCAGCCAGGCGGCTGGGAGGAGGCCTGGGAAGGCAAAAGAAGGTTCTTTAGTGCTCAGAGCAACGCAGGGCAGCGGTGTGGGTCCAGTGGGCACAAGGCCACAGCGTACAGTGCAGGTCGCAGATTTGACCTTGGCCTGTGTGTGGGCAGCTCCCACCTGGGCTATCTGCAAGTAAGTTGGGGGCTTGCCCCCAGGGGCAGGAGTGACAAGAAGCATTTTTCCAGCAGACATGCCACTCCCAGGGCATAGAGACCTACGCTTGGGCAGAGAGTAAGGCGATGGCCACCAAGGTCCCTTCAACGCTAACTTAACACGTGAGAAGAGTGTGTCTGCTCACTAAACAAATAGACGTTTGTGGGTACTAACGTCTTGTTTAATGTCCTAGTGGTTGGCAAAGTGACCTGTGCTACCTAACCAAGTGTGTTTTAACATCCTCGGTGATGCTGGTGTCTGTGCCCTGCCCACCAGCCTGGCCCGCTGTCTGGTGCCTCCCTAACCCACTGTCCGCTCTGCAGGCTACGTCATCACCATCTCTGGGCGCATGACCTTCACGAGCAATAAGTCCATGGAGATCGAGGTCCTGGTGGACGCTGACCCCTTGATGGACGACTCGCGGAAGCGCTACCGGGCTGCCAGTGCCTTCTTCACCTACGTGTCTCTGAGCCAGGAGGGCAAGTCGCTGCCTGTGCCTCAGCTCGTGGTGAGTGTCCCCCTCGTCGCTCGCTGGGCTCCCAGGAGAAACCGAGTCGCAGGAGCCCTTTCTGGGTAGCCAGGCCCAGCCTAGCCGCGTGCTGCGACCTTGGCTGCACTGCAGGTCATGCGTGAGGGCCCTCCCCTGTGGCCAGTGGGGGAGGGCCCAGGCAGATGGGACAAGATAGACCCCTTTACGAGCTCCTGGTCATCGGCACGCCCTCTCGAGGGTGAGAGCAGTGCCTCGGTGCTTCTGAGATGCTGATGGGGCCCTCCCCAGGGCGGGCTCCTGGTGTGGCTCAGGCCAGACCCCTGCCCTGCCCTGTGGAGCTGGGCGCCCGGGCTTCATGGCCTTTCTTTGCCTTGGCCACCCACTGGGCTCCACCCTGGGTGTGCAGAGAGAGATGGCAAGCAGAGTTGGGGTCCCTGGCCCAGGCGTGGATCCTGGAGGGCTCACGGCCCCCAGCAGGGCTCCCCGCTCAGGTCTCAGAGCATAATTCCCAGGCTGCGGTTTGGGCTTCCTGGGGCTGGGGGTGTGGCCTGACCGCGTTTGCTCCTCACGGGTCACCAGAGCCTAGAACAGACTTGGCACTCGGTGGGTGCCTCCGACTGTGTGCAAGGCCGGCCAAGCTGGGGGGAGACGGGCAGTGTGGGTGCTCGGAGGGGTAGGGGGAGCGCGCCGGCAGGTGGCCTTCCAGCTAGGAGGCCAGGTGTGAAGTGACCCCCAGAGTGGGCAGCGTCCCCTAAGAAGGGTGGGAGTCGGAGGGGTGGGGCATTGTTGGCGGGTCCAGGGGCTGGAATCCCAACATCTTGGCAAATGCTGACCACAGGGAAGCCAGAGGAGCCGAGGGTCCCAGGTGGGGACGGGGACGATGGCGGTGGTGGCGAGGATGCTTGGCAGGAGGCACTTGGTAATCGTGTACTGAAGGGAGGAAGGAAACTTCCGGATTTTTCTTGAGGCTGATGATGGTTTTATAATAAGCCCCATGAATTCCTTACTGGTGCCCGTCAGGGCGCCCGGCCTGGAGCTTGTCCCAGCACCTGCCAGCTCTGAGCCCTCTGCCTGCCTCACCCCCACCCCCATTACACGGGCCAGCACCCCCCGGACCAGCCAGGCCCAGGCCCAGGCGGAAGGCCACACGGCTAGTCATGAGGAGCCAGGCTGGAGCCGGCTCACGATGCTGGTGCTGGGTGTGGAGACGTTCTGCGTGGCTGCCCCTGCTTCTCCTTGGCCAGACTGCCTGTCCGGGCCAGGAGGAGCCTGGAAGCGTGGGCTGTAGGTGGGGCGCCCTGCCCTCTGCTGGGGGAGGGAGTGGGGAGTGCCGCGGCAGGCAGGGCGGGGTTGCCCCAGCACCCTGCAGGGCCCCCTGCCACCCCCGCTGCGTCTGCTCCCCACGCATATCCTGCGGCTCCCCGAGAAAAACATGCTGTAAACCTCTGTGACAGATAAACACACTGCGTTTAAGATCCCGTTTCCTCATGCAGGCAGGAACGCGGCCTCCACGTGCTTCTTCCTGTGGCGGAGGGTGACCACCTGGCCTCCAGCCCCACTGCCTGAGCCAGTTCTCAGTGGCAGCTGAGGCCCTCCAGGGCGCCCCCCTGGAGATTTTCGTCACCCCTGCTCCTCCTTCCAGGGCCTCACAGGCCCCGCTGGGGTGGGTGGGCTGTCGGGCCTCTCCAAGGCCAAGTGGGCAGCAAGGCCTCTGTCATGGCTGGAGGAGCCTCAGCTGTCACACATGGGAATCTTTGACCTCTGGCTCCAGCAGGGTGGCCGGATCCAAGGACACTCTCCATCTTTATCTCGCTGGCCTCCCCCTGCCTTTGGCACAGCTTGCTGGAGCTCAGTGAAGTCTGTGCACCCTTGACACGGGCCTATGCAGTGTCTAGGCGGCCACCCCACGGTCTCCCTAAACACAAAGCCCTGACAGGCCCTGGCCTGCACCCTCCTCCCCCTTGGGTGGTTGGGTCCAGGCCCGGTGCCTCATCTGTTCACTCCCCATGGACTTTGCTAGCTCACCTCACTCCACAGTGTCACCGCAGACGCCTTACCGAGCTCATCATCCCCTGTGCCCCGCCCCTCCCGTGAGTCTGGGAACTGGCTGGCTCCTCTCCCCCGCTCCTGCTCAGCCCCACACCCACTGTCTCTAGGCCCCATTCCTGTTGCTGGATCCCTGCTCAGACCCGGGTCGTCCTCAGCCCAGCTCTGCGCTGAAGCTGTCATGTTTGTTAAAACAGTCAGATTTGCTCCCTCTCCCACCGAAACTGCTCAGCGGCTCCTCGGTGCCCTTGGCGCGGGGTCCAGCCAAGCTGGCTTCCGAGTCTCAACCCCAGACTCATTCCTGCCTCGGGGCCTTTGCACACGCTCTGCTCCTGCCCGGACACCGGCCCTCAGACCGTCATGGAGCCAGCTCCTCCCACTGTTCCTCAGGCGTGTCCCCCTCGGAGGGCCTTCCCTCAGCTCGCTCGGTGAAGGTGAAGCCTTCCTGCCCCGCCTCCCGGCGACTCTGCCGTCCCGCACCCTCTGCAGGCTCTCGGCGCCGTGAGGTTGTCTAGTGCGCGTGCGTCGTTCTGCATCCAGAACAGGCTCCAAGGTGTGGCCACACGATGCCTGGCACAGAGCAGGGCTCGGGAGACGCCTGAGAGCGGCCACTGGCTCGCTCGCCTCCCCAGCCGCGTCTCTTCCCCCGGGCAGGGCAGTCGGGAGTAGCAGCCACCGACCCCTCCCTCCCCAAGGCCCCTCCCCTCCCTGCTGGCCCGCGTGTGGGAACAGGCAGGTGCTGCCTGCGTGCCTCAGTTTCCTCCTCTGTGCAATGGTGCCGGCCACGCTACACGCCACGGAGGGTGGGTGAGAACTCTTTCAGCTGATTTGTATCGGGATTTCCGGAACGTCTCTCCTAGGCCCCTCCTTGCTAGAGCTCGCGCCCCGCCTCGATAGGGCACATGGGGACTGTTAGACGGCGGCAAAGTGGGGAAAGCAGGAGGGGCTGGTGTTTTCTGGGGGAGCAGCCGCATCTTAAATAGCTTCCTTGTAAGGACGGCCTCAGTGGGCCGGCTGCATCCCAGTGGGGCCTGGAGTTGGAGGGAGAGGGAGCCGGTTCTCAGGACCATCAGGTGAGGAAGCTGGGGGCAGAACCAGCTGCCCGTAATAGGAGAGGAGTCACCGTGGCCGAGGCTGCCTCGCTGATACTGGGGGCGGGTGGACCCGAGAGAGCGGGAGTCGGAACATCTCCATCTTGAAACAGCTCCTGCTGATAAACATGAAGTGGAAGGGTCTGTGACACTGGCCAGGGGTCCGGCCGCTGCCACGGGCTCGAGCGAAGGCGCCGTGGCCACCCCTGCTGCCCACACTTCCGGCAGAACTCAGCCACTGGGAGACCAGCGCCACAGCCAAGAGGGGTCAGTGGTCTGTAGGCTCGGGGAGCAGGGCCCCGGCACCCCAGGGTCTGGTCGCCATGGGGAATAGCCTGCAGCCAGGGAGCCCTTTGTGGAGGCCCATGACCCTCCAGGGGCCTGGCCAGTCTGTGTGCCCTTTCCAGAAACCACAGCCTGGGGCGGGGTCGGGTGCAGGAGGAGGTCCTCGGGTCCGGCGGGTGGGGACCACAGGGGGTGTGAGGAATGACACCTGCCTGAATGAAGGCAGCGATGACCAGATCGTTCAGGTTTGAGGGGCCAGCAGCTGGCCATAGCCACACCTTGCTGCCGGCTGGCTTCCTGTCGATCCCCCCGTTGCTTCTCATCAGTTAAAGATGGTCTTGGAGTCTTCACCGAGGTGGCCTGGGCTCACCACTGTTGGTAAAAATAGCTCTGGCAGGGAGGGTCCGCTCCCCAGAGTGGGTTTTCAGCTCCCGCCCGGCCTCCGTGGCGCCGACCTGGGGACCGTCAGCGTGAGTGTCATCCGCGTCTCGGAGCACACGTGTGCTGTGCGCGGGCGCCAGCAGTGGGGACTCGGCCCCCCTCCTCCCATTGTTAGCAATTCTCCAACTCCCTGTCTATTTTTAGCTTCCATCCCTGGGGCCGACTGACACGGAAGGCAGCGGCGTTGCTGTTGGGAGTATTTCTTGATGAATATTTTATGCCAGGCAGGTCTGACACCGCGTCCCACAGCTGCCCGCACTTCCCAGGCTCATTATCAGACGAGGCAAACGTGGAGCCTGGAGCCAGACAGCCAGGCTGCACACTAGGCCCCGGCCCTGCTGGCCTCCCCGCCTTTCTCTGAAGGTCTCCCTGTGGCCGTTCCGTCTGACCTTGGGGGTAGGGGACCAGCCCCAGACTGCCGACGGGCTGGCAGGTGGCTTGTGCAGAGGGACACGGGAAGAGCACCATGACAGCTCCCTGGGGGCCTGGTACCTCCTCCGATGGTGATTTATTTTCCGGCCTGGACATGTGAAGCCACAGCAGGTACCGTCCTGGCTGCTACCCCGCCTCCCGTCCTCCAGCCTCTGTGCCGTGGGGCCCCAGGGAGACGGGCGAGGATGGAGGCGGCAGCACCCGGCCTGGCGTGTGTGAGGAGCTGTGTGCAGAGGGCGGCGGGGACACGGAGGAGCTCGAGGCTGTGGCAGAGGCAGGTCTGGAAAGCGCGTTTCAACACAGCAGCTCCCACAGGTCTTTGGAAAGCGAGGCCTGATACCACAGCCTGCGCCTGCCCTGGCCAGTGCCCGGCCCCTCACCGCAGCCGACAAACAGCGACACGCCATGGACAGGGGCCTAGGCCCCGAGACTCAGTCTTCAGCCACAGAAAGGACGAGGAAGTGTTTTCCGAAACAGAAGGCAGTGAGGAGATCGAGGGTGCAGCCGCCCTTCCTGCTCCCCTTCGAGGGGCGGGCGTTCGGGGTGCCGTGGTGACAACAGGGTGGTCACGGAGAGCTGCAGAGTTTGGGGCGCTGGCCGTTTCTCCTCTGCCGCCATATCTGGCATTGAGAGCTAGAGACGTCCCATCCTGCAGACAGGGGCCGTGACCTGGAGGGGGGCCACCTCTGGTCCAAGCGGCCTCCTGCAGGACTTGAGCCACGG